AGCTTCCCCCTTGGAACCTCCACCTCAGAACTCTCCCCTCAGAGCTTCCATCTTGGAAGCTCTGAGGGAGAAGCTCCATCTTGGAGTTTCCCCTCACAGCCTCCCCCTCGGAGCTCCCCGCTCAGGATCCAAGGATCCCAGCAGAGGATCCCCAGCCCTGCTGCCTCTTACTTTCCCTGGAATCCGTAGTAGTTGCCCAGGATCTGCTTGTACTCCTCGTGGGCGCAGAACTGGATGGCGGCGTAGGGGATCACCCGCACCATGGTGGCAGAGTTGCCTCTCCAGAGGCTCCAGAAGCCCTCGTTGAGGTAGGTGTGGTAGATCAGCCTGTAGGCTTCCTGCGGGGATAAACTGGGGTCAGGGAGAGCAGGAATGGGGGGCAGGAGCTGCCTCAAGGCTGAACCCTCCAACCCCGTCCCACAGCGCTGCCATGGCCGCCCGGAGCGTCCCCGGCACATCCACGTGCTCCAAAAGGCAGGTTGTGTGGAATAAATGCATAAATGGAAATTAATGAAAGAAAAATATCATAACTGCACTTGTTTTTCACAGCATTTCCATCCCCACATCCCAGCCTAATTCCAGAATCCAGAGCTGACCTCACATCTTAACCCGTTCCCACTGAGCTGTTGTGGCCTCCCTGGCACATGCATGTGCTCTAAGATGCAGTTTGTGTGGAATAAATGGATAAATCAATGGAAATTAATTAAAGAAAAATATCAGAATTGCAGTTTGCTTGTTTTTCAGAGCATTTCCATGCCCACATCCCAGCCTAATTCCAGAATCCAGAGCTGACCTCACATCTCAACCCGTCCCACTGAGCTGTTGTGGCCTCCCCGGCACATGCATGTGCTTTAAGATGCAGTTTGTGTGGAATAAATGGATAAATCAATGGAAATTAATGAAAGAAAAATATCAGAATTGCACTTTGCTTGTTTTTCAGAGCATTTCCATGCCCACGTCCCAGCCTAATTCCAGAATCCAGAGCTGACCTCACATCTCAACCCGTCCCACTGAGCTGTTGTGGCCTCCCCGGCACACCCACATGCTCTAAAATGCAGTTTGTGTGAAATAAATTGATAAATCAATGGAAATTAATTAAAGAAAAATATCAGAATTGCAGTTTGCTTGTTTTTCAGAGCATTTCCATGCCCACATCCCAGCCTAATTCTGGAATCCAGCGAGGAGAGAGGGAAGCTCCACTCAAGAGCAAAGAAGGATTTTTACATCCCAGCCTGCCTCATTTGCCCTCTCAGGGAAGGCAAAATTTGCACAAAACCCCTTCCCAAAACCAAATTCAACTCCTGGGGGCCAGGCAGGAAGGTCTGGATCACACACACCACGCATGGAAAAGCTGGAATGCACAGGGAAAAAGCACTCGGATCCCAGATTTAATTCCCTGTAAATGCTGCAACAACTCCTGTGTGGCTGGGGGAAAGGAGTGAGCACTAGAAATGGTCAAAATCACATGGAAAGGTCCCAAAATCACAAGGAAAGGTCCCAAAATCACATGGAAAGGTCCCAAAATCACATGGAAAGGTCCCATAAACACAAAAAAGGGTCACCAAATCAACAGGAAAGGTCCCACAAACCCCAGGAAAGGTCCCAAAGCCACTAAAAAAGGTCCTAAAAGCCAAAGCCCTGAGTGAAGTCACATTTATTGTCACGTCACAGGTACAACCTGGAGTCTGAATCCCCCCCAGCAATCACTGTCCTAATTAATCCTGTAATTAAAACCACCATTCCCAGTCTTTCCCGCTATGTTTTCATGGAATGCTGCTGATAAATCCCCCCAAAAAAGTGAAATACAGGCCAACAAAAGATTAATTTAACACATCAGGGCAACAGCAGACAGACGTCACCTCACCTTAGCAGAAAATCTTTTTGAAGACACTGAAAATAAAAACAAACAAAAAAAAGAAGATTAGGGCTTGCAAGACAAAAATAAAATTTGATCCACAAATCCCTAAATAAGGGATAAATAAACAGGTGTTTTGGCTAAAGGGATAAAAATAGAAGGAAAAGAATGAATGCAGGAGGAAATAGAGATTCTTTGCCTCGTAAACGCTCCCATAATTTAGCACAAAAGTCTATTTTTTCCCCCTGCTGCCTGTTAGGAAAATTCAGTTTGTGCAGAATAAATGAATAAATGAATAAAGAAAAACAATTAATGAAAGAAAAACCATGCAAAGTGCACTGCTCACTTCTTTTTCAGAGCAGCTCCATCCCAGCAGAACTCAAATCAACCCCCTGATTTTTTTTATAGTTTGTTTTTTCCCCCACTTCCTTTGCATCCATCCAAAGTGACAGCACCTCCTTATCCCTGGAATGCACAGGCAGGATTTGGGCAGCAGGATTTGTCTGGCAGCTCTGCCACAGGAAGGGAAAACCCTGCCTGGAAAGTTTAATGAAACGTGGCTCCAATTAAGGGGCTGCAGCAGCTCCTGCCTCGCTCAGCTGAGACTTTGGGAGCCTCTCGAGTGCATCCAACAATTCCATGCAAATCCATTTTTCCCCTCTGCTGCTCCTCTGTGCAATGCAACGCTTTTATTTGGAATTTTTCTTTTTTTTTTTTTTTTAAGGAATAAAAACCCACCTCGACGAACGGCGATGGTTATCGAGGGGGTTTTGTTCCTTTAAAAAAAAAATTATTAAAAAGAATAAAATGATTGAGTTGTGGGAAATTTATTGAGTTGTTGGGCTGGGAAAGCTCACCCACCCCTCTGCCATGGACACTTTCCACTATCCCAAGCCCCATTCCTCAGCTTCCAACTCAAGGCATCACTTGGATGATCCAAAGATGTTTTCCTTCCTCACAGCCAGGGAATAAAACCCCTTAGGGCAGCAAGAAACTAAAAAAACCCCTCTCAGATCCCAAAGAATTGCTCCCACTGGAAGATTTTAATCCCATCCTTTCCAGCCACTGGGATGGGCCGAATTTTTAGGGATTTTTAGGAAGGTGGCTGCCCAAATTCCAGGTGATCCCCTGGGTCAGCTGCTGCCCCAGCTCGGCTCTGTGGCTTCCCTCCCACCCCTGCTCCTGATGTTTCCACCCTAAAATGAACCTGGCTGTGTGGTTTTGGTGGGAAAAGCCAAAAATCCGGGTCCCGGGGGCAATCCCAGCCTCCCTGACCCACATCCCAGCGATTCCAGAGCTCCTTGCTCTGCCCAGAATGAAAATCATGTGAGGAAAAATCAATTCTAAATTAAATGTCAGCCAGGGATTAGGCTGAGCCCAGCTCGGTTAATCTGGGACGTCACCAGGCTTAAAATTCCTGGCTTTCCCAAATGTGCACTGAATTAAAGGCCTGTGCTGTTCCCTCTGGGATAATTGGAGGAATTGCACTGCAACAAGATCCCAAAATCCCCAAATCCTGCTAAACACACGGAAATTCTCCGTTCCACTCAGAGCAAAGTCATTTTCTGTGACAGCTCAGGGGTGCCAGAGCACACAAATCCAGGCGGGCAGCAGCTCCAGCGCCTGCTGCCTCGCATTTTGGGGAGAGCAGACAAAATTTGGGCAGCCAGCCTTCAGCAGGGAACTCCCCCAGCCCAGCTCCCCCTTCCCGGAGTCTCCACATCTCCAGGAAAAGGAGCTGGATGAGCACAGAGGGCTCAAAGTTAAAAACAATTTGGGGAAAAAAGAGTTCACCTTGGAACATGATTTTTGTCCTGTCCAGAGGAGCCACTGCAGTTTTAGCCACAGCCCCAGCCAGAGCCCCGGACATCAGGGAGTTCAGCACTTTCTCCTTCTCCTGGTTCTCCTGGGGGAAAAAAAAAAGCATTGGATAGTGAGAAAATAATAATAAAAAAATCAATCCCACAAGGAACACCATTTCACCTTTCCTGCAGCGTTCACCCCAGGGTCAGGATTTGGGTCAGAATGTTTCACTGAGTTTGCAGCACAGCGAATTGCTGCCTGGGCTGTGAGGCAGAATTCCAAGCATTCCTCCTGCATGTGCTGTTTTCTCCCTGTTATTTCTCTTTCTTCTCCCTCCCCAAGAGTTTTAGGCATGGGCAGAAGGGAAGTTTCCAGAAGAGAAGCACCCAAGCCCTATTCCCACATCATTCCCAAGCTCCTGAGGATAAATCCAGGCAGTTTTCCCCCTCTGATGGGTGGAATGAGAGGGATTCTGCTGCTGGAATTCCTGCTGCAGCTCATATTTATAAAATCAGCATTTTTCTCCCACAGAGAGGAGAAAAAAAAAAAAAAAAAAAAAGCCATAAAATCCAACCCCGTAGAAGTTGTGGAGCGAGGACAAGCCCAGGCTTGATGTGTGAACTTTTGACACTCTGTGGATGAGAGGAGTTCACATTTTCCTTGTGTTTCCCAATCCCAAAGTTAATGTTTATGCCCCAAAACCCCTGGATCAGCTCAATTCCCCCTCCCCAGCCAAGCAAAGGTGAACTTCAGCCCCGGGTTGGGGCTAAAGCACAGCGAGGCTGCAGCCACCTCCCTTCTGCTGGGATCCCAGGGATCCAGGGGCAGCCACAGCTGCTCTGGGAATTCCATCCCAGCCAGGAATTCCTTCCCAATACCTCACACAAATTCCCCTTTTCCAGTCTGAAGCCATTCCCTCCATCACTCATCCCAAATCTCTCCCCTGGAGCCCTTCCAGGCTCTGGGAGCAGCTCCAGGGTTTCTCTGGAGCTTCCCTTCTCCAACCTTGGGCACTTCCA